CATCCCCCATCTGCTCCTCAGAGAAAGTAATGCCTTCCATCTGGAGTCGAATCTGTCCCATCACCATGTGGGAGGCAGGACCAAGGTCCTCCCCACTGTGTCTATGCTTAACAAGGTATCTCTCCATAGGAAATGGACTTCAAAAAGCCAGTTCATGAACTAGGGATAGATCCAGGTCCCATTGCCAGTGACCCCACACACTGCCCAAGCCACCACTGTCACCTGCATTCAGGAGACCTACTTCAGTTCTATGCAGGGTACCCAGCTGTCAGCCTGGAGTTGACGAGCTCCAACTACCTCAGGCCAGCTGTTTCTGTGGTTTCCCCATCATGGTTTTGAGTCCTTTGCTTATATTATCACTCCTCCCTCTCTTCCGACTGGATTTGAGGAGCTCAGCCCAGTGGTTAGTTGTGGATCTCAGAATCTGCTTCCTTCAGTTACTAGGTGAAGGTTCTATGATGACAATTATGGTAGTCCTTAATCTGATTACAAGGGAAGGGCCAGTTCAGGCACCCTTTGCACTACTACTTAGAGTTTTGTCTGGGGTCATCCTTGTGCATTCCTGGGAATTTCCCTAGTGCCAGGTTTCTCGATAGCCCATAATGACTCAGATATTTCTTTCCTTGCTCTCCCTGTTGTTCCCCCAACTCAACCATTCCTTTCCCTCATGTTCCCCTCCCCACTGCCCTTCTGTCCTCCTTTATCTCCCTCCATCCTCCCCAAATTTATAGTTCTTAATACTTGTAAGCAAATACCATCTTATTTATAGTGCATTTTACTTCTTCAGAATGTCTTCATATCAAGACCATTGCAGGTAGACAGCAGTGACGATTCTGAATGAGCTGTTTGTACATTTAGCAAATGAATGCCCTAAATAGCTGCAACAAAGACATTCAGTATATGACTCATTTAAAGCCCAGGTCTTTTTTTCCATTTCAGGTTCCCTGAAGTCATGGGTTGCTGGCTCCTGCTCAGAGTGACAACACCCTGTGGATTCTACTGGTACTGGCCCAACCACCACAGAGCCCCACTGGAGCATGGAGCCAGCCTAGAGAGGGTCAGGTAGGAACTGTTTTTTCACTTTATGGCACGGTTTTGCCAATTGGAAAAAAAGTGACTTTTTATACCCCAAAAGGGTATAAAACATTGATGATTATTTTTGAAAAAGGGCTTTTTCAAAACTGAGCCATATTGGAAAAAATCAGCATTTAACATGCCCTGTGCAAGCAGTCCCTATTTATTGTCAGCTTCCCCATGCTCACAGTGACAGCCAGTGCAGTACTTCTGAGATGGATGCATTGGTTCATGTTTTAGGCTTTGTGCATTAATAAATCAGACAGGACATTGACCTAATTATGCAAGCCTTTGTTAATTACTTTAACTGTTAGATTCCTGAGGAAAACAGTAGTGAATCTTAGGATTTTTAAACTGTAATTAAATGAATATATATTGCATTGTTTGAAGACAATTTTTGCATCATTCTTTTTCAGTCAGTACCATAGCTCTGAAAAACAGGGAGGTTGTGGTTACATGAGTCTTCCCTATATGTTACATAGCTTACAAGGGTTGTCTCATTAAAAGAATATAGATTTAGCTGGGCGTTGGTGGCACACGCCTTTTATCCCAGCACTCGGGAGGCAGAGGCAGGTGGATCTCTGTGAGTTCGAGGCCAGCCTGGTCTACAGAGCGAGTTCCAGGACAGCCTCCAAAACAATACAGAGAAACCCTGTCTCGAAACCCCCCCCCAAAAAAAAGAATATAGATTTAGAAATGAGACTTGAGACAATTGAAATAACTTGCCCAGGGTTATAATATTAGTGAGTAAGAAGCCATTCAAACCCAGGATATATATCTTGCTATATGTTAAGTTATAACTTTTTATTTTTCTACAATTAAAACAATTCTGGTGTTAAAGGACTGAAGGATTTTCCCAGTACCAAACTGCAAATTTGGTAGAAATACACAGTAAATGACTACTATATACATCGAGCTTAGTACCTAATGAATTTTTGCTTAACATTTATTTCTACCTTTAAAATAATATAATTTAAAATACTTTAAATATGTTGACTTACCATATTGACTTTAGTAGTGGACCATATATTCTGATTTTTATTTTGTAATGCTTTCTGAAATATTTCACAGAAATATGGAGTAGAATTTACAAACAGTTGCAGTGATGAGTTTAAGCTTCTTACAGTTTTGTTGCTATTCTGTTGGCTGTTATGCTAATATTTGGAAATATTTCTGTAACAGTCGTTATAGGCATTTATGAATACTTAGTATGAATACTTAGTATTAGAAAAGCATGTTACTTAACATATTTATGTTACAGAAAAATAATAATCCTAAAAGGAGTTGCATGTTCCCAAGATTGTAAATGAAGTAAATGCAATAGTCAAAGAGCCTTTGAAAGGTGTTGGCCCAAGCCAGGTGGTGGTGGTGCACACTTTTAATCCCAGCACTCAGAAGGCAGAGACAGGCAGATCTCTGTGAGTTCAAGGCCTGCCTGGTCTACACAGTGACAGTGAGTTCTAGGACAGCCAGGACTGTTTCACAGAGAAACCCTGTTTAAAAAAAAAAACAATGGGGGGTGGCCAGAAGATGCTCAGTGGGTGAATAAAGGCCCTAATACCAAGCCTGACAAATAGAGTTCAATCTTAAGGACATACATGATGGAGGGAATTGACTCCCACAAGTTGTCTTCTAACTTCCACATATGACCTAGCTATAGCATGTGCATATCCACACACAATAGACTGGTACACAAAAGAAATAAAAATGTAATTTGAAAAATTTTAAGAATGTAAGAATAATAAGTAATTCTTAGAAACAGTACAATGAAAATTTTTTAGTTAATCATAGGATTTTGTTGTTGATTTAATGTAAGTTCTGTTATTTTAAATACTGCAAGACTTAAGTACAATTTTGTGGAGATGATAGCATTGAAGATCTTCATTAGTGGGTTTTTAGTGATACTTTCCTAAGTTTCAATTTGAAAGAACAAGATACATTTTAGTTCAGGAAGATTTATGCATTCTGTAATATAGAAAAACAATATTTGTGAAGTGCATTTCTTAGTGACCTTAGAATTATCTTGGAGCTTTTAGTTATTAAAGGAGAACATAGGGAAGTGTGTAATGAAACCCAGAGGGATGAACTGTATTTTGTGAAAGAATCATAAGGAGGTTTTTCCGATGTTTAATTAATTGACTTGGTTTTGTTTTTGGCTTTGCTTTGAAAAGTGTAACTTCATTTTTAAAGACTTAATTGCCTGTTTTCCCCAAAATAACGCAGGTGGCAATGTTAGAGCTAAAATGAATCAGTGAGAAATCTTTTTAAAGAGAAAAGTATGGTAAATTAAGGAACCAGTAAACATTACCACTCCCACTTTCCTTCTTGTGTAGTAAAGACTATTAAGCAATTATTCTGGTGAAGAAACGATAGATAAAGATGAATAAAATAAAAGCTTCAGACTTTAGAATTATGTCCTGGTTTATCAGTCTCTGAGCAAACTGGTATGATGCTAGATGGAAGGCTTGAGGTTAATAGAATGATGCTGGTAGCAGCTTCAGACTACAAATGGAAGCAATCAAATGGTGACAATTTGGTATGAAACCAAGATGTATTGGGAAATTTCCCTTACCTGAAATGTCGTTATGAACATAGCTGGTGCTAAAAAGCCTTATTACCAACTGTCACTGAGAACTAGAGCAAAGGGTCTTAGAAATTAGGAACCATTTTCACATTTAATGTGAAGCTGTGTTTGTTACCCACACTTTTCCCTTTTGCTGTAACTCTACTGGGGCACTGTTGGTATCCTTTGTCCAAACATGATTGGCATCAGAAGTAGCACGTTTGGGGGAATAGCTACATAAGGTGTCTAGGGGAAATACTCGAGGCAAAGCAGGAGGTTCCTTTGTGCTTTCTGTACATTTGATACAAACATCAGAGGTAATTTTATGCAGTGCTTTTAGTGTATCTATATTCTGACTGCATTCTATTGTAGGAGATTGGTCGTGAAATTTTCCGCTTGTGTCATGTCAGCATTCAAAACATTTTGGATTTTGTAGCATTTTCAGGGTTTTTTGTTTTTTGTTTTAGGCAAGGGAAGTGTAACTTGCATTCTTCAGTAGTTTTGTTAAGGTCTGGTACTGAATCCCTGGGTTGATAGGGAGAAAGAAGAATCTGCCTAAAAATGTTGCTGATTATCAGAATTAACACTAGGCAAATGCCTTTACCATTTCAGCCCTTATTCCTGTGTTTTCTAAAAACTAAAACCCAATAATGAAATAAATTCTCACATGAAGACCCAGTGTGTCCAAAAGATCAAAATAAAGTTGTACTGTTTGACACCAAAGTAGAAAGTACAGACCATTAAGCTTTCTTCTTGCTTTTCTCTTTCTATCAGGTACTTCTATAAAGAAGCCTAAGCTTTCACAGAGTATATTTTCATTATGCACAATGTACCATAGAGTTTTTAAAGTTACATGTTTCTTTAAAGGTATTTAATTCATTGACTATTTTCCCTACAAACCATTTGCTGTTAAACATCCCAACTCCTTCAACTCATGGTATAGCAAACAGCATCTCACACAATCCAGTGAGCATCTCATTTCATGCTTTGAAACTCCCAATGCAGGATGAAAGCCATCTGAAGAGCTGGTGAGGGAATTTAAGAAAGGCAAGGCATTTTCTGTCTAGAGAAAATACTGTTTCTAATTATCTATCTAGCACCTTATATTTGTGCTATATGAATTTGATTCAAGATATGTGCATGGAAGTAGATTCTCAACTCATTCTCAAGACTGCTAACTGCTTGCCTGGAATAACACCTTAAGCACATGACCCTGCTTACTCACTGCTTGGGAAACACACCACAGTACTTACTCCTCTTCCCTACCCTTATACATTTGTTTCTTAAGCTTAGAGATTATCATAACATTACTGTGCAGTTTTCTGCTGCTTACTTTTAAGTTGAAATCTCATTTTTGTTTCAGATTCTCCTTCTTCTGTGGTTAACAAACAGCTCGGATCCATGTCACTTGATGAGCAACAGGGTGCGTGCAACAGGAGATGCGCTATGCCCATCCATCCATAGCTTTATTGCAATGCATAAACCGAGTTCTTTCTTGATTTTGCTTAGCATATCATCTTGATTATGGTCTTCAGTCAGTAATTTATGGACTAAATTATCTTGTGTGGTATTGTGCATAAAGGGCTCTTGTGATCTGAACAAATTATGTTCTGTGTAAGCTTATTTCTGCCTTCAACATTTTATAACAGTTTTGAAATCTCTCCCTCTAACAATTCGTAATGAATATAAGATACAACTTTTATTATAGCTATAGATCATAAAATCATATAGAACTGTGTTTTAAAGTTAGCATATTGCCCCATTGTTCATTTAGAAACTATTTTGAACATAGTAATAGTCCAAGTTACAAGGTTGCTATGGTAATGACACTTGGTTTTTATGTCATACTTAACTGGTGGTGAAACTCAAGATAAGGTGGTTGTTTTGTGCCCAGGTTGACCCTCAGTTGCAGGTGGCTTTGCTTAGCCTTCCTCCTGTGGTCTGGCATTACAGTCATGCTGCCACCCCACTCAGCTCTGATAATTTTAAGCATTATGCTTATAAAACACAGAGATATCCAATCAGAAGGGAAAAACCTCTTGAACTTCCACTGGTACTGTTTTTGAAGTAGCAAAGGCTGTGGAGAGATAGATGCAGTCACAGGTTTATCAGCCAAGCTTTATTCCTAGCAGATCTGATACAGTGCATAGAGAAATTGGAAAAGGACAACATTCTGACAAAAAAGAGGCACATGAGAAGATGAATGCAGAAAGGAAGACTGTAAGAAGCTATAGCACTTGAGAATTAAGGCAGAGCTTATAATATCAACTCAGGATTCTTTAAAGTATTCTAAGCACTTTGTGATATAATGTTAGCGATATTAAGCAGCAAATAATAACTTTGATTAGTTATTTATATATTATATGTGATATGTGTGTATATCAGGGGTTTATGCCATGGTGCAATCTTGCATAGTGATCAGGGGATAATTTTCAGGAGTCAGTTCTTTCCTTCTACTTAATGGATTCCAGGATTGAACTTGGGTCAGGCTTGGCTGCAAGCACCTTTACCACTGAGTCATCTCACCCCCTTGACTTCAGTTATCTTAGTTGAAAAGGGCAAATGGGTAGCTAATAGATTTCACAAATTTCTTTTAAAAAATATGAATAAGCACAAAATCTGTAAGACTTGGTAGGCTGAAAGGTTACATATGTAGGAGAACTCACTGGTTGACTAAGTTAAGAAATTAATATTTATGTAGTGTCTAGTGTGAAATAGGTCTAATTTTAACTGTCCTAGAGAAATGTTTAAAAAACTAAATTTAAAAATTAGAAACTTCTGTTACTTTCAGTCTTAAATAATTTATTTGTAAATCTTTTGATGATATGTATATTGTTGTTAGGTGTCTTGTTTTCTTGTTCTTAAAAAAATAAAGCTAGGCATGATAGTTTTTGCCCTTAATCTCAGTACTCAGAAGACTGATGCAGAAGAATTGCCATGGGTTAGATTGAAAATCTGTGTTTAAAAAAATCAAGCAAAATACAATGTGAAAAATGGGGTGGGGGAGGAAAAGAAAAAATAGAGTAAATGAATCTAAGAACAAAATTAGCCATGTTTTATCTTTATACAGAATAATAAAATGGTATACAATTATACTATCATATTATATTACACTATAGCCAGATTCATGTTTAGTTAACCATATAGAATAATTCTTGTAGATTTATATTAAATATTATACCTATTTAGTTGATACTTCATTTATATATGGTTTGGGGATATAAGAAAGGGAAAATTCAAGTTTAACTCCCCCAGTTTTGGCTTCAGTGCTTGAGTGAATGGTGATGACATTTAGTGAGATTGTCTGGCCTAGAGATAGAAAGTAGGAGGCTCTTTGTTTTGGTGGCCATGTAAAACAATTTGCCATGTAGTCGTATAACCGCTAGAGAGGTTGTATGAGATCATTTATCAGTCATGTTCAGCAGAAAGTTCATTGTAAAAGGCCACTGCAAATGTAGTTTTATGATAAGACTTATGAGCAGAAATAGCCTAACAGTGGGAAATGACCTAAGCACATAGGCTTACCTATGGCAATATGTATTATCTGAAGATAAACTGTACTTTGGAAGTTAAGACAGCCTGCCTGTCACCAGTCTATGCTTCTGTTCTAAAGTAATAATTTTGTAACTGACTTTCTCATGTCTATTCAAGCCATGGTCTCTTCTTTACTAGCTTGATCCTTTGAAAAATGTGTCATTTTTCCATCTAAAGTTACTTTAACCCTTGAAAACTAGTGAAGTTAACACCATGTCTTATAGGGCACACATGAACTGCCTGCCCTTTATCTCCTACCCTTACTTTTGGCCATTCTGCTCCTTCACTGTGTTCTTGCCAAGTTGCCTTCTGTCTCCTAACACTCTGCTCATCACTGTGGTCTTGCCTAGTAGCCTTCGTTCTGCTAACACTGTGCTCACTTGCTGTGTTCTTACCAGCTGTGTTGCCTCCAGTCGGCTAACACTCGGAGCTCCTTTCTTTCTCCGGTATCTTACATGCACTGTTCCCACTCCCAAACTGCTTTGTTGTTGTTGTTGATAAACAATTTCTACTTATCCTTTAAGTGTCAATCTCAACAATTATGACTTCTCAGTTTGCAGTATTTCCCCCTTTCCTTCTTTGTGACTAGTTGTTTGCTCTCATTAGATTTGCAATCGTGTATTTGGAGGATTGTTTCATATACACCTCTCTCCATATTCTATACATGTTGTTTTTAATTCATTGTCATTTATGTGCAGTGTATGAAGTCATACCGTCTTTATTGGTACCGGTATTTGGTGGGGGGTTATTGGGGGCTTTATTTTTTTGAGATAGGGTCTCACTTTTAGTCTTGGCTGGCCTGGAACTCTCTATGTTGACCAGGTTGTCCTGGAACTTTCAGAGATCAATGCACATGCCTCTGCTTCATGTGCTGAGATTAAAGGTGTGCCACCATTAATTCTTTAAGTGATCAGAGCTATGGAAATTATTTCAGTTTGGAAAATTCAACATAATAGCCAGGTTTACGTATTGGAAAGTTCATTTGGGCAATATTATAGATGAATGAATAGAAGATAAAGATTGAAGAGAGTCAGAACATATAACAGATTATTATAATAATCCAGGTAGGAGACAATGAAGAATCCAAGCTAAGGCAGTAGGAGCGGGAAATGAGTAAATTTTAAAAATCTTTGTGAAGTGGAATGAATGGAACTTGGACTTGGGGTAGATTGTTTGTCTTATGTAGTACTATGGGTTATGTCTCCAGCACTCAAAATAATCAAGATAATGACAGTAATAGTAGCAATGAGTGATACTTTGAAACTGGTTAGCTAGAAACTAATGAGAAAATTATGTCTAGGTGTCTTGATAAGATTATAGTAAGCCATCAGAAAGGTAGAGCTTTCAGGAAAAACAGATAGTTCTGGGGGAAAGAAGCCATGTAAGCTATCCTTTGGTAGTGTGGGGGTTATCCTTTAAATTTTGACTTTGAAATATCTTAGTCTGTTTTCTTTTGCTATTAAGAATACTTAAGTGCTGGCCATGGTGGCACACGTCTTTAATCTTAGTACCTGAGAGGCGGTGACAGTGAGTTCCAGGCCAGCCAGGTCTGCATAGTGAGACCCTGTCTTTAAAATATATGTATGTGAAAGGAAGGAGGAAGAGAGATAAAGAGAGAGGAGAGGGGAGACTGAATAACATAAGGAAAGGTTTGACTCACAGCTCTGTGCTGCTCCATGCATTGCCAAAGGATGGAGAGACAAGCAGAAGTGTATTGAAGACAGATGTGAAGTGGGAAAGCTAGAGAAAGCTAAAACCAAATTTAGTTGATCATAGTTTACCCTACCAATAACTTACTCAGTTCTCTGAGGAAGAACTCACTCCTGCACAGTGACATTAGCCCATTGGTGAGGACTCTGTAATCATGATCCAAACACCTCCCTATGCTGCATAGATGGCAGTGATGTACATAATTATTCAAAGTAAAAATTCATCAGTGAAATGAACTCACTGAAACTGAACATTATTAGTAACCTTTTCATCTTTAATAACTACCCCCATAAAGAAATCTAGGAACTATTGTGAGAAAATATATAGAAAGCACCTGATCACTTACACAGTGATAAATACACCTTCTGCAGCATAAATACCAAACTTTAAAAGAATTGTAGTTTCTTTATAAATATGAAAAAGAAATAAAATATGCAGTCAAAAGTCTGGCTTTGTTGCCCAGGCTGTTTGAAGTCTTGTGTTCAAACAATACCGTTTCAGCCTCCAAGACAACTGGGAGTACAAGGACACATCCCCAACTCCTGACTTTTTCCTTTAATCAGTATGCTTTTTAAGTAAACAAAATGATAGGGAAAAAATCAAATAACAGACATTGTTATATGAGAAATACTCCTTCATACTTACAAAATTTAAAGTTGTGGACAAACGTTCATGGCTCTCCTGTGTTGATTATGGACAAAACACAATGTTCCTATCGTGTACTTTACTTGCATAAAAAATTATATATGATACATATTAAAATAGATATTTCACATGCATACTTTATAATATATATCATATATGTATAGGCATATGTGTGAATATATTATGTGTATATATGTACATATAACATACACATGAATGTATTTATGCATATATGTGGATATTATATATATTACATGTAGATATGCATGTATCTACATATATAATTTATATGCATATATAATATGTAATATATATATAATTTTATGTTGAGACAGGGTTTCGCTAATTAGCTCTGGCTCATCTAACTCTTACTATGTAGACCAGGCTGTCTTTGAACCCACACAGAACCGTCTACCTCTGCCTCTCCAATGTTGAGATAAAGGTGTGTGCCACAATGCTCCCTTTTGAGTAATGTATTTCTTAAGGAGTTTGGGACCCAATATGTTCTTCATGATGGTCCTAAACTAAATTCAGGCATTTCTGAGTACCTGAGACTATAGGCATGTGTTGCATGCCTAGAAAAAAATGATACATTTTAATAAGTTTAATTTTCCTTTTTGTTTCTGTGTCTAATTGTGTTATGCTTATTGTCCTGAAGAGAAAATTCTTATATTATTGTTTATATATTACTAAAATTTACAACTACTTCTTCAGATATTTAGGTCAATAGTTTTTTTCATTTTATTTTATTTTTTAAATTTTTTGGATGTTTAATTTGGGAGAAGGTGTAAGAAAACAGTTTTGTATGAGTTTGTCTTTGTCATGTTTGAGCAAATTGCATTACACTTTTAAAGTGATAATTGTTAGGTAGAAGTTGATAATTGAAGATCACTTGAGGTCATTTTGCCTAAGTAGGCTTTCTGTGGTGTTAAAGCATTGACCTATATAGGAGACAAGAGGGTAATCTGAACCTAGGAAAACTGATTTTATTAATTCTTTTGGGATAGGTTGGGAAGTAGAAAATTGGATTTGTCATTAATTAAGTATGTATTTCCTAGAAAATCACACTTGCATTGTATTATAAAATTGAAATTTTAATAACATCATAAGAATACTACATTAATGTTTATTTATACAACACCAGGACTTTGTATACACTATGGAAGAGTTATACCCTGCCCTTTATTATTGCTTTTTGTAATTTTTTATTTTTTGAGATTGTAATAGAATTACATGTTGTCCCCTGCTTCCCTTTTCTGTGTATTATTTTGTACCGGGCGGTGGTGGAGCACGCCTTTAATCCCAGTACTCGAGAGGCAGAGGCAGGCGGATCTCTGTGAGTTCGAGGCTGGGCTGGACTGACAGCCTCAAAAACAATACAGAGAAACCCTGTCTCGTAAAATCAAAAAAAAAAAAGTTATATAAAAATAAATCACTAATTTGTAGGTTTCTGAAGTATCTTTTCTTAGGAAATTTTAACTTAAAATATGCATTTTATCACACACAGTGAATTATATCCATTTAAAGTTATTATTATGTGTGTGTATTTTATCTGCATGTATGTTTGTGCACCATGCACCAAGGCAGACAAGGATTCGCTGAAGCTGGAGTTACAGATGGTTGTAAGTATCCATATTGGTGTTGAGAATCAAATCCAGGTCCTCTCTAAGAGCAGCCAGTATCTTAACCTCTAAGACCTTTCTCCAGCCCCCAAATTGTGTCCATTCTTAGCTAGGGGATCAAATTTCTCAGAAAACCCATCTTAATAAGTTGTATATAGTCATGCAATGTATCATAACCTAAGAAGAGTGGAATGAGCAAAGTTAGAAATAAATTCTAATCATTGGATATAAACTCACACTAGTACTTCATTTGAAGAAGTCAAATTTTGTATTGTATAGTGTTTCTGCCAGAGACACAATTTATGTCCAGCTATATGGAAATCATTAAACTCAGGAATCTATAAAGTTTGAGTACCCAGAGTCCATTCCGTTTATACAATGATTGGTCAGTTTGAGTCAAGTCTGATGAGTTCATTAAGAGTTGAAAGGAAAAGTGCCAGTCAGCTATACTCATTTTATGATTATATTAATATTGTCGTATTTTATGACCACACTTGAATAATTTTGTGATAGATGTCTCCAGGAAAGAAATTGTGACTGTTGTTGGTTACCTGGAGGCTTCTTGCTGGGGAGGGGTTGGCAGGGTGTTGTACAAATATTAATGAAATGTTTCTGTACTGTTCTCTCTCTTCCTTGCTTTTGTTACTATATATATATATATATATTTTTTTTTTTTTTTTGGTTTTTACGAGACAGGGTTTCTCTGTATTGTTTTGGAGGCTGTCGGTCCAGCCCGGCCTCGAACTCACAGAGATCCGCCTGCCTCTGCCTCCCGAGTGCTGGGATTAAAGGTGTGTGCCACCACCACCTGGCTTGTTACTATATTCTTATAGTAATAGCATATGAATATATGCAATTGCCTTTTGTTTTCTTCAAAGAGAATGTTGTTGGTTTTGGTTTTTTGGGGGGGGATAGAGATGAGTTAGGGATTGCCCATGAAACCCAGAAGAGGGTGTTGGATCTCTTGGAGCTGGAGTTAGAGGAAACTGTGATCTGTGGGTTTTGGGAATTGAACTCAGAACCTCTAGGAGAGGGCCTTGCTCAGTACACTTGCTCTTACACCTTCCTGCCCCACCCCTTTTTCCCTCAGGACAGTGAGTATCTCACTGTGTAGCCTTGGCTGACCTGGAACTTGCAGTGTAGACCTGGCTTACCTTGAACTCAGATCCCTGCCTCTGCTTTCCTGGTATGGGCTTAATGATGTATGCCACCATACCCTCCATTCCTTCCTTACCTTAGAGCAAAACATTTTATAAGCTGTTCTGAAAGAACCAGTTCTAGCTCTGCCTGTGTCCTTGACCATTCCAGACTTTAGCCCCAGTTATAGATAGCAGCCTTGAAACAATAGCGCCTTTATTATCAGTGGGATGAAAATCTCAACGTCATAACTAAAGGATAAAGGAAAACTGGCCCTCTTACTAGCAACTATAAATTTGTTCAAGTTGTAAGGGACTGGACAGATGTAGAAGTCTCATTCTTGACACTTTTTCCAAGGTAAAGTTTTACGGTTTTACTAGAATGATGTTTTGTAAAATGCCTCCTCCAAGACCCTAAATACAATGCTGAAGTGTTGAACATTGTTGTAGGGCTGCTTTGGTGGCACACACCTTTAATCCCAGCACTTGGATGGCAGAGACAGGAGGATCTCTGTGAGTTTGAGGCCAGCGTGATGTACAGAATGAGTTCTCAGGCAAACAAAGTTATGTGGTGAGACACTGATATAAGAGAGGGAGAGGGGGAGTGCGAGAGAACATTGTTAAGGTTACTAGTTCATTCTTAGTAGCTGTTTTTATTAAGGATGGACCCAAAACAAATAGAATAGAAATAAATGATTTTTATAATTTGGGATGCCAGCTTTGTATTTTTACTTTTATTTTAAAATAAGAATCATATAAGTCAAGATTTCTCACAAGTTAGAACTTAAAATATAGTGTAAGAATTTGGCTTTTTCAATTCCCTTGTCTCTTGGGGAATCCTCTCTCCTTTCTGCTCTAGTACTTTATTGAAATGCTGTTGTGTTTCCTGGTTACAAGCTACACCAGAGGTTCTGTGAGGTTCTCTTCAGTAAGTGCTCCATATCTTCAAAAAGGGGTGAAGGAAAGGTATACCCTTCATTGTAACAAAAGTTAAGAACCTGCTTAGGCCTGTGCATCTAGTACAGTGGTAGAATCCTTGGGTGGGGGGGCTCACTTCAGACCTTGATGCCCACTCTTCACACTTTTGTAAAAGCAGAAAAGGAGCCTGAGTAATTTGGATTTTTAAAGTTGTGATTTGTTGTTTATTTTAGGAAAAGTAATTCATTGTTATATCAGTTTTGGAATGGATGCCACGAAAAAGGGATAACCACAGATGAGTTTTCTCTCTGGAGACAGCTAGCCAAAGTGCCTGATACTTGGTTTTGTATTTTTAGTTTTTATTCCCCGTGTGTTCTCGCATTTCCACAGCTGTTAATGACCATCAAATGGGAAGTTTCAAAGTTCTGCTGCATTTTGTTCTTGAATATACATTTGCTCTTTGGGAAGAGGGCTTTAGGTATCTCTACAGTTTCTGTGACTTTGATTTGCCATTTTTGTTTGATTGATTAGTTGATTTAGAGACAGGGTATTACTAAATAGCCTTGTCTGGCTTAGAATTCACTATGTGTACCAGGTTGTACTCAAATTTAGAGCAATCCACTTGTCTTTGCCTCTTGAATGCTGGGGTTAGAGATGTGTGCAACTGTGCCCAGCCAAATATGAAGTTTTTCTTTTTGAAAGAAGGTCTCACTTGTAGCCCAATTGGCCTGTTTTTAACTGTGGAACACAGACTGGCCCTGAGATCTTAGAGGCCATCCTGTCTTAGCCTCCTAAGTGCTGGGATTACAGATGTGAGCACCATGTCCACCTTTATTTGCCATTTTAAAACAGACTATATATTGTGGATATACTCTAAAAAACTTTAAGGTGAAATTACTGTCCATTAAGAAATAACTTATTTGCAAGATTAGTTAAGAATAAAAGCTGAAATATACTAAAATACTGAAGTAGTTTTAGAAAATGCTAAAGCCCAGTGCACTGTTGCCTTGCCATAGAGTGTGCCCTAAAAGAACAGAGGACTCAGTAGCATCTGCCTGAGCAGCTCCGTGCAGAGCCCTTTCATCTTACACATTAGCTGCTGTTAATCCTTTCTGATGTTCAAGCTGCTCAAAAGTAAACCGTAGGTATTCTACTAAGTAAGGTGCCAGTTTATTATGTATGCCATTGCATGTGCACACCTTTTGGTTCCTTAATCAAAGGGTATGGATTTCAGTGTATTTGATTTCCCTCTAAATCTGAGGAAGTCATGTACACAAAGCTAGAAATTAATAATGTTGCTTTGAACTTTAACAGAGAACCTAACATGAACAAAAATTATGACAAGAACAACTAACTTAAGTTCTTTTAAATTTTAGGAAATGTCATATTTTTACTGGTTTCAGAATTTTTTTTCAAATGTTTTAAACACAATTTTCAGATAACAATAATGAAAGGCTGAGCCCCAAACCAGGGACAGGTGAACCAGTTTTAAGTTTGCACTACAGCACAGAAGGAACAACTACAAGCACAATAAAACTGAACTTTACAGATGAATGGTAAGTTAACGTTTTTGTAAAGACATTCTTAGCTGTTTTGTAGAATTGTATTAGATATGCTTTTTTTGTACTTCATTTCATGTTTTGTTTTTGCTGTACTATATTGGTTATGGAAACAGTAGTGTGCTTTAAATTCCTTGAAGAACTTGGAAATCCACAGATAGCTCACTCTCAGTGAATAAGAACCCTTGCTATGCAAGCATGAGGACCCGAGTTGAATCCCTAGCAGCCATGTTAAAAGCTAGGCATGGCTGCACACACCTGTGTGTTCCTGTAATCATAGCACTGGGAGGCAGACTGGCAATCCCTGGAACTCACCAAGGAGCTTCCTGTTCACTGAGAGACAGTCTCAAACCAATAGGTGGGAGCAATAGAGCAAGACTCCCCAGCATCTTCCTCTGGCATGTGTGTGTGTGTGTGTAACACACAAAACAAAATAAATCAAACTAAAAAAAAAACCCCACAGATCAACAGATTTCCACCTGCTGATTAGCTGTGAGCCAGGTCTAAGAATTTCTAAAAAAAATAGCAAATTGTGTTTGTCATCCTGGGATGTTTGTTCTGATAGAAAATACAAGCAATAATATAATCAACTACATTAGTTTAAAATATTTTAGTCTTTGTTCTCTCTCTTTCTGATTGCATGATTTTTGTTCTACATTATAGAAGATAATTTTAATTATGCTGAATATACTCTGTTCTATGTTTGTTAAACTTTATAGTAAGCATTATTAACTGTAACTAAACATTATTTTCCTTTAGTTACCTGTACTGGTTGTTATTTTACTAGTTCATCCAGTAGGGCTGTTATAGATTACTTATATATTCCCTTTTAATTGGAAAATGGACTTTTCATTTTAACCCATTGAGGGAAAGTCTTCCTTTTAAAACTTTTCCTACCTTCAGCATCGTATCTGTGAGATGTATTTCCAGAGATGAACTACATTGAGATCAAAAGGTATTGCCAATTGATTTTTAAAGGGCTTTCTCTTTCTACATTTCAGTTAGTGTATGAACAAACATACTTTATTCTTCTGTTCAATGTATTTTTAATTAATTTATTTAATTTAGAAATGGCTCAGCTGTTAAAGGCTGCACTCACATCCAAAATTGTATTATTTTTTATCATTATTTTTAAATAATTTTACCTGTTATTTAATCTATTATTAGAAAGGTTGGACTTTTATACTCATTCAATGCTTTATATGTTGTCTCTAATGACATTTCTGATTTTGTTCATATATTTAGCTGATTCTTACATTTAAGTATCAATTTATGTAAACATTTTATTATCTTTCCCACTGTTTAGAGCCCTTTTGATTGAGCATTATCCAAATGTTTTTATTTAACCTTATGTGTTAGCTATTTATGATTGTTTGTTGACAATATGGTACTTATAAACATATAATTATGTGTTGGCATAATTATATAAAATATTATATAATTATGTCAGTTATTTATAATCACTTGTAATTATCTGTAATTAATATATTAAGTCATATTAGTATATTACATTTTTGTAAATACATCATATGCTTTCATAGACAAACCTCTGTCCAAACTAACCAAAAGTCAGAGAGAGAGCATGCTAATTAACAAAATCAGGGATGAAAAAGGGGACATAACAACGGACTCTGAGGAAATCCAGAGAATCATCAGGGCATACTTTGAAAATCTGTACTCCACAAATTTGAAAATTTAAAGGAAATGGACAATTTCCTGGATAGATATCACTTGCCAAAACTAAATCAAGAACAGACCTATAACCCCTCATGAAATAGAAGCAGTCATCAAAAGTCTCCCAAACAAAAAAAAAAAGCCCAGGCCCAGATGGCTTCAGTGCAGAATTCTACCAGAAATTCAAAGAAGAGCTAATTCCAATACTCCTCAAAGTATTCCACACAATAGAAGCAGGAGGCTCACTGCCAAACTCTTTCTATGAGCTACAATTACCTTGATACCCAAGCCACACAAAGACACAACTAAGAAAGAGAACTATAGACCAATTTCCCTCATGAACATCGATGCAAAAATACTCAATAAAATACTCGTAAACCGGATTCAAGAACACATCAGAAAAATCATCCACCATGATCAAGTAGGCTTCATCCCAGGAATGCAGGAATGGTTCAACACTAGAAAATCTATCAATGTAATCCACCATATTAACAAACTGCGAAAGAAAAACCACATGATCATCTCACTAGATGCTGAAAAAGCCTTTGACAAAATCCAGCACCCCTTCATGATAAAGGTCCTAGAGAGATCAGGGATAACAGGAACGTACTTGAATATAATAAAAGCAATATACAGTAAACCAACAGCTAACATCAAACTAAATGGAGAGAAACTCAAAGCAATTCCTCTAAAATCAGGAACAAGACAAGGCTGTCCACTCTCTCCATATCTCTTCAATATTGTACTTGAAGTTCTAGCTACAGCAATAAGACAACAAAAGGAGATAAAGGGGATACAAATAGGAAAAGAAGAAGTCAAACTTTCACTATTTGCAGATGATATGATAGTTTACATAAGTGACCCAAAAAACTCCACAAGGTTACTCCTAGAGCTGATAAACACCCTCAGCAATGTGGCAGGATACAAGGTAAACTCAAAAAAAATCAATGGCCCTATTATATACAGATGATGAAGTGACTGAGAAAGAAATCAGAGAAACATCACCCTTTACAATAGCCAAAAACAGCATCAAATATCTGGGGATAATGTTAACCAAGGAAGTGAAAGACCTGTATATCAAGAACTTTGTGTCTTTAAAGAAAGAAATCAAAGAAGATACCAGAAAATGGAAAGATCTCCCATGCTCTTGGATTGGTAGGATCAACATAATAAAAATGGCAATCTTGCCAAAAGCAGTCTACAGATTCAATGCAATCCCTATCAAAATTCCATCACAATTCTTCAAGGACCTGGAAAGAACATTAATCAACTTTATATGGAAAAACAAAAGGCCCAGGATAGCCAAAACAACCCTATACAATAAAGGAACTTCAGGAGGCATCACCATACCTGACTTCAAGCTCTATTATAGAGCTATCGTCCTGAAAATAGCTTGGTATTGGCACAAAAATAGGCAGGTAGACCAATGGAACCGAATCAAAAGCCCTAATTTTAACCCACACACCTATGAACACTTGATTTTTGACAAAGAAGCTAAAACTGTACAATGGAAAAAAGAAAGCATCTTCAACAAATGGTGCTGGCATAACTGGGTACTGGTATGCAGAAGACTGCAGATAGATCCATGTTTATCGCCTTGTACAAAACTTAAGTCCAAATGGATCAAAGATCTTAACATAAATCCAGCCACACTGAAACTTTTAGAAGAGAAAGTGGGAGATACTCTTCTACGAGTTGGAACAGGAGACCACTTCCTAAACATAACACCAGTGGCATAGGCACTGAGATCGACAATTAACAAATGGGACCTTCTGAAACTAAAAAGCTTCTGTAAGGCAAAGGACACAGTCAAAAAGACAAAAAGGCAGGCCACAGAATGGGAAAAGATATTCACTAACCCTACATCTGACAGAGGGCTAATCTCCAAAATTTACAAAGAACTCAAGAAACAAGTCTCCAAAACACCAAAGGATCCAATTAAAAGGTGGGGTACAGAACTAAATAGAGAATTCTCAGTAGAGGAGGCTAAAATGGCCAAGAGACACTTAAGAAAATGCTCAACATCCTTAGCCATTAGGGAAATGCAAATCAAAGCAACTCTGAGATACCATCTTACTCCTGTCAGAATGGCTAAAATCAAAAACACCGAAGACAATTTATGCTGGAGAGGATGTGGAGAGAGGGGAACACTCCTCCACTGCTGGTGGGAGTGCTGACTCATACAGCCTCTTTGGAAATCAGTATGGAGATTCCTCAGGAAAATGGGAATTAATCTACCACTAGACCCAGCAATTCCACTCTTAGGCATTTATCCAAATGAGGCAAATTCATACAACAAGAGCATCTGCTCCACCATGTTCATAGCAGCATTATTTGTAATAGCCAGAACCTGGAAGCAACCTAGATGCCCCTTAGCTGAAGAGTGGATAGAGAAAATGTGGTACATTTACACAATGGAGTATTACTCAGCAGAAAAAAAACAATGGAATCTTAAAATTCGCAGGTAAATGGATAGCACTGGAAGAAACCATCCTGAGTGAGGTAACCCAGTCGCAAAAAGACAAACATGGTATGTACTCACTCATATATGGATGTTAGACATGGATCAGGATAGTGCCAGTCTGCACTTCCACTGATAGAGAGTCTGGGAAACAGGAAAGAACCTAAAAGATATGCATATATGCATAGTACCCAAGAGAAGAGGATTGAGACAAGATCCTCTGAATGGATGGGGAACACGGCGAGGGTGGGGGAGTGGGACCTGGGAAGAAGAGAGGGGTGAAGAGGAAGAGAGTTGGTCATGGGGGAACAGGAAGTTGAGGGGGTGGGGGTAGAATAGGGGGAAGAGGGAATCATAGGATCGAATACAGATCAGGCACCAGAGTGGCCTCGGGTGATCTAAAGGTATAACACCAATTGGCAAGCTAAGCAATAGTGGAGAGACCACCTTAAATGCCCATTCCTGATAATGAACTTGATGTCTATAACCATCCGGGAGCCTTCATCCTGTGACTGATAGAAGCAGAGGCAAACACACAACTAATCACTGAACTGAACCCAGGGAACCCAGTGACAGAGAGAGAGGAGTGATGAGCAAATTGGCAGAGAATGGGCTGGCAAAACCAGCAGAGACAGCTGATCTGAACAGGGGAGAGCTCTTGGACCCCAGACTGACAGTGGGGAGGCCAGCATGGGCCTGATCTGGACCCCCCAAATGTGAGTGTCAGCGAGAAGGCCTGGGCAACCTATGGGGCCCTGAGCTGTGGATCAGTGTCTATCCCTGGAATACAAACAGTCATCGTGTGCCTACAGCACAAAGAGGGATGCTCTCTCAGCCTGGACTCTTAGGGGAGTGCCTGGACCCTACCCAGAGTGAAATGACAGACTCTAGATATCCCCTATGTGGAAGGATTTGGCAATAGGGTGGGAGGGTGGGAGGGAAGGGGAGTGCGGGAGGAGGGGAGGGAGAGGGAATTAGGATTGACATGTAAAACAAGCTATTTAAAATTGAAATAAAAAATGATAAAAAAATAAGGAAAGAAGGAAGAAAAAAACCACATGTTCTTTACAAAAAAAAAAAAAAAGAAGCAGAGTAAAATATTTAACCGAAATAACCCTATTGAGATGACACTTTAGGCTGGTTCACAACCCTCCTGACTTTTATTTCTGCATATAGACTCATGTAGGTATATATTATTGCTTAAAATAATATGTTTATCTATACTTTAAAAATACAAGATTGATTTTTGTAATTTGCTTAAAAGGGATTTTATAAAATCTTGGCCAAAAAGTCCCTAGCAATTTGTCTTTTTGCATTTATTTGTTTTCTGCATGTGTGTATGTGTGTGCTATGTACATCATGGCACGGATGTGGAAGCCCAAAGACACCTTGGGAGAATTGTCTGTCTCCTACCCACAGTGGGCTCCAGCCATCAGGATTAGCAACAAGAACCTCACCCACTGAGCCTCACTGGCTCTAAATTTGATTTTAATCCCATATTCTTATACATCATCCTCTTCTCCTTCTCAACCCTCTCCTTACACATGTGTCATGATTTCTTATGGAATAGTTACTTCAAATTATTTTTTGAGTGGGTCTCATATTGTACTATAGCCAGAAATATACTTGCTAATGGGACTATGGCCATCATCAGGTGGATATTAAAACTGAAATAGAAAATGTAATCTCTTTTTATAAAACTGTAATATTTAGTAAACACACACACACTCGTGGGTGTGCGCGTATACCAGAATTGGTATTGTTCCACTGGAGGCAATTCAGAAATACTAAAGAAACGGCCAGGTTTCCATCCATCTCAATTTTTGAAGGTATACAACATTAGAGTCTAAAAGAGGATATGACCCAATTCTTAAAACCATTAATAATTCTGTATATAGAAAGGGAGACAATATAATTCACTTAAAATTCAGTAGAAACTGGGACTAAAGGTATATGACAAGTTACCATGTATGAAGCCCTATGTTTGATTTTACACACACACACACACAGCCTCATTAAGGGACATGTAGAAGTGTGTAGCAGACAACAGAAGCATCAAAATAGTGATTTAAAGGGCTTTCGTTTAAAAATCTTTCTAAGATGAAGTGTGCTGGAAGTTATGTTTTTTAAAATGGATTTTCAAGTTCTTGTGTTCTGAATTTTCTAATTTACTTTTAAATTGTAAAATATAAAAGTTACATCAAAACCCTTCTGTTAACTTTTGGTAGAATCACTTACCTTCTTGTGACCTAGGAGCAATACTGCCTCAAGTTCCAGAGGAAATGGGAACCATTGCAAATCTGAGGGTCAGGAGGAGTCCTTGGTCCCACAGAGCTCTATGCAAGCACCTGAAGGAGACAGCGAAACAAGTTAGGTTCTTTTTCTTTCTTTCTTTTTTTTTTTTCTTAGAAGAAACCTCAGTGCTGAATATTCACCTATTTTTTCTATTCCCAAACAATGGTATTTTGTTTGTTCTTTGTAGAGTGAGATTTTGCTTTATTGTTAAAATTGATTGTGTGGGATCCATACCTGTGGAGGTCAGAGGATAGCTTTGTGACATCGGCTCCCTCCTTCCACCTTTACTTGGGTCCTAGGGATCAAACTCAGGTCTTCAGGCTTGCACTTAGCAAGTGCCTTTACCCTCTGAGATATTTTGTGGGCGTCCTGGGTGAGATTTATTTGAATGTTTAAGGTTTCTGTGACTCAGATGGAATTAAGAGCCATTTATTTAAAGAGATATTGGGGTATTATATTTATTTCTTTTTTTAAAAAACTAGATTTAATGATAATTTTGTTTAATTCTAGGAGCTCCTGAAGAACTATCAGAGAAAGGAACATTTTCAGAAAACCTCACTCAAAACCAGATACATATAGGTGAGTTGTCTCACTGTCTTTAAGAAATTGGTTCATATGCAAAACTAAACAGCCTTGATCTGTGTATCTCTCCAGAGGCAAAGGTCACTTCCAAACGATGGCTGTGCTATTTTCCTCTCTTGTTAAGGGAATCAAATTTCATAGTGGAACATGTTAGTTTTTAAGTACACAATGATGAACACGTGACTAACTTCTGCATGATTTTGTTTCCTGACAGCACAATCTGATACCTTCCCCACTGAGCCATTGGATCCTAACTCAGGAGAAAGGAATAGCCCAAGTCTTGATAGCCCTTGTGGGGTTCCAGAAGAAGGCACCTTGTCTGAAACAGGCAAGGAGGCTTCTGAGCAAACTAGCACTGAGGGAGCTTCCAGTCATGCTAGCCCCAATCCTGAACTCCCATCCCAGACAGAAGCCATTGGGCCTTTAGCTCACGAAGACACAACAACCAGGGACTCTGCTCTCCAGGACACAGATGACAGTGATGATGACCCAGTCCTGATCCCTGGTGCAAGATATCGAGCAGGACCTGGTGATAGGTTGGTATGTCTTAAATTAGCATAGACTATAAAAAATGTAATTCACAAGAGTGTGTTTGAAGTCAAATGAGAGGCTCTTCATTTTTACAAGTGTTTCATCAAAAAGTGTCACAATCATATATGACACATATGTGATTCCACATATTCTTTGAGCAAACTGTATGAAGAAGTGAACAGAAAGTGTCTTTGTTCAGTATCTCTGCCACTGGGCTTGCATCTCAATTTTGGGATGAAGAGAGAGAATGTTGAGAATGACTACCAGGATGTTTATGAAGTTAAGGTTACATTAGTTGTCTGATTGTTCTGTAGAGATATGGCTACTGGTTTTTGTTTGTTTATTGAAATGGGGGTCTTGGTATGTTGACCAGGCTGGCCTTGGATTTGTTATCTGTAAACGAGGCCAGCCTGGAACTCACAGAGATCCACCTGCCTCTGCCTGTTACTTCTTTTCTTTTTTATTGTCCCTGGTAGTGTGCTAGTTCTCTTTTGGGGGACACTATGTTTTTCTCTGTTTTCTAATAATGTAATGAATGACTCAGTTAGGAAAATAAAAAGAAGCCGGGCATTGGTGGCGCACGCCCTTAATCCCAGCTCTTGGGAGGCAGAGGCAGGCAGATCTCTGTGAGTTCGAGGCCAGCCTGGTCTACAGAGTGAGTTCCAGGACAGCCTCCAAAACAATACAGAGAAAAAAAGAAAGAAAGAAAAAAGAAAAGAAAAGATACAATACATAATAAATATTGTAGCAAAAATAGAGATTGAATTGTTAATACGTTTATATGGGGTTTTTTTTGCATTTTTGATTTTTATATGAACAGAAAGAAACATTTTATTTTAGGTGGTAAAATTCCCTTTAATCTTTTAAAATCACCAGGCCTGGTGGTATAGGCCTGAAGTCACAGCTCCTTGAGAGGTTGCAGCAAGAGGATCACAAGTTCAAAGTCTGTCTGTGAAGCTTAGTGAGACTGTCAGAAAATAAGTAGTAAAAGGAAAGAGGTAGGAATAGCCCTCACTTGCTAGCATGTGGGAAGTACCTGTTCACTCTTGGAATCCAAGTAAGGATAGTGTGCTGTAACCCATGTACATGCGAAACTATCTGTGTGATTAGTACCATCTTATCTCATTGTTCCAGAAAATCCAGCTTTATCGTTAAAGTCCTAATTCACACAGGAGTTTAGACCATTTCAAATACTTGTGTGTCAAATAGACTTTTGTTTGTCATTCAGTTTACATTTCTGACATAATTAATGTGATTATATGTTATACATGTATAATGAGAAGATTAGTATACCATTAAAAATTGCCATCTAGCCAGGTATGGTAGCTCATACCTGCAATCTGAATACCTGGAATGAGGCAGAAGAATTGCTGTGAGTATAAGAACATTACAGGGTAGCGTGGGATATAGAATGAAATACATTCAAAAATCCAAACCAAACATTAGTAGTGCTGTATAATGAAGAGCATCATAACTTGGGTTTGAGTACACATTCAACCACCTACCAGCAATGTTTTCCCAAATACAGTGCTTATTGATTCAAAGGCTCAGTTCTCTTCATATATGAAGTGGGGTTATGATTATCTAAAATTATTGTATAAAGTAAGAATGAGTCAGTCACATTGAAAATTCTGATACGTCTTAAACACCCAATGTATTTTCTGTATATGACTACCGTAATCCCGAAAAGCAATTACAGTAAGATTGACTCAGTCAGCAGCAGTAATGCATGCCTATAATTTAGCTGCTTGGGAGGTTGAGGCAGGAAAATTGTTTGAGGACTAATCTAAATAATTAAGACCCTCTCACAAAGCAAAAGGAAAAAAAGAATGCCTCTAAGGAGTAAAGATGAGCAAATAAAGGTATTAAAAAGGGCAGCTTTCAGAAGCTCAGTGAAACAGCCCCTGTTATCCATGGTAGGGGGTGTTCCTTCCCTCAGCTCTAGAAAATATTTACTTTGCTAAGGGCACTATTGAAACAATCTTTCCCTATATTTGTGCTTAAAGATTAATAAAATACCTTCTACCTGTTAATCATCAACCTCCAATGGTTTTTGATTGTTCAGTTGTTTTGTTTTGAAATAGAGTGTTGTTGTTGGCCCTAGCTGGTTCTGTAAATCAGGCTGACCTTGAGCTGTCAATCCAAGTGCTGAGGTCACAAGCATGTTCTACCAACCCCTAGCTCAGCATTCTTTATATATATATGTATATATATATATATTTTTTTTTTTTTGGCAAAGTAAACTTAGTTCTATTCCTTAAAAGGTCATTAATACTTAATGTATACAGGTAATGTTACCAAACATTGCACAAGTCGACAATCAAACTGATGGTTTCTAAAGCATTATCATTTTTATATTTAAATGATTTCTCATTCTCCAAAAGTTTCACCAGCCACAAAGTTAGTGCTTGGTAACTTGATTAACCTAGAAAACTCAGGTGTTGAATTAGATTAGTCAAATATTTAGAAGATTGATAGTTAGGAATAATAGCCTGGAACTGCTTCGTCTTCATACATGAGCTTAAATTCAGCTGTTATGATTAAATCCAGATTTTAAACCTTTAAAGACTGGGTATTTTTAATAGTCTATATAGTCAGGTTCCTTGGCCTTGATTTGGCCTGTATATTACTAGCTTTTATAGGACATAAATTTATAGACTGGTATCAGAAATAATAATAAAATTCTTAATCTTCAGCAAACTTATTATTGAAGAAGAAAATATACAAGCCATTCAAAGCAAGAGAAAACTAAGTATCTGAAACTAAGTAAAATGTCGCATGTGCAAACACCCAACTGAGGTGATGCTAATGCCAGCATTGTGGCTGGTTCCCTGAGATTTGCCTTGTCTTTTCCCAGGTGTTTTTTGTTTTTATTTGTTTTGTTGTTGTTGTTTTGTTTGTTTCTTTGTTTGGATATATTTTTCGTTGCATCATTTTGTAGTTCAGAGGCCTTGAATTCAAAGTAAACCCTTCTTTAGCCTCTGAAGTGGTGGTGTTACAGCAGGAGGCACCACACCTAGCCTCTCCTAGCTCTTTACCAAGAGCTTGAAAGTGATTTAAAAGAAAACAACAAACAGCTCTGGTCTTTCTGTGGTGTCTAGCTTCCTAAGCAGGCACCACTTGCTGTGTAATTAGAGCAAAGAATGTGCTGCCTGCTGTGTCTGCTCTCTGCTTCATCCTGAGGCTGCTGCCATTTTTACTCCTTAGCAAAGGACCACTTGCCATGGCCTCTGGCCTAGTTTGTTGCTTCTAAATTTGGAGATAAATAAATTGGCTTATATTTTAAAAGGAGCCAGTTTTGAGAAATTTTACTTGCAAGAACCCAAAAATTTTACTGTCTTGCAAAATAGCAATATTTGGGCTATTTTCTGTCTCTGAAGAGCAAATGTGCACACTACACATTGATGAAGCGCCCAGCTAACAGAATGCATGTCTTAGAGTTCCCTCTGCTGCCCTTTACCACGGCAGGCCCAGTCTAGAAGTGCAGTGTGTTGTCAGTGTGCCCCAGAACATTTTTGTTGTTGTTGTTGTTGCCATTCAAAAAGCTCAGTGTGAGCTGGGGAGATGGCCCAGAGGTTGAGAGCACCGGTTGCTCTTTCAGAGGTCCTGAGTTCAATTCCCAGCAACGACATGGTGGCTCACAAACCATCTAGTGCCCTTCTCTCGCATGCAGGTGTACATTCAGGCAGAACGCTGTATATATAATCAATAAATAAATCTTAAGTAAATTTTTAAAATGCATAGTCAATTGATTTAGTTAGGGTAGAGAAATGATCCTCACAATTAGTATGGTAAAAGTTAAGTAGTTAAATAGTTGAGTATGTAGTGAGTTAAATTTTTACTTTAACTTATACAAAAAAAACTAGTATAAGTCACAGTTTTACTTCAATTTTAATTTTTACTTTTGTTTCCTAAATTCAGACTTTTAAATGAAACCTTAAAAGCTTCATATAGTTAAGCCATCAACATATATTTAATTTAAGATACCAAAGCAGTCCTTGCACTGCAGAGTAGTGACTTCCTTAACACAACTACTGTATTCTTTCTGCATTTTTGAACTTGCTTTTAATTCCTGACCCTCCTGCTCCCACCTCCAGAAGGAGATTACAAGCATGGGCCACCATTCTTGACTATTAGCATTCTTAAAGTTTTGTCAGATATTAAGCAAGTTTGCATTTGGGGACTAAAATGAAGCATGAAAAGGCAATGCCTTGGAAAATAAAGGCCATAGCAGCAATATAAATATTTTAAATGTGTAATGGTTGTCTCTAACTTCTCTAACAGTAAGGCTATATAAAAACACTGGAACTCTATAGTAGAGGTATTCAGACTTTTTTCCCAAAGGGCAAGATAATAAATATTTTAGCCTTTGCTGGCCACCAGGTAAAGTGGAAACTTTTGCATAGGCACTTACATAACTATTTAAAATGTAATCATTTAAAAATGAGAAAACTGTCCTTAGCTTAAAGGTCATAAGAAACAGCTGACCAAGATTTATCATAAAAGCATTTGCTGATGCCTGCTTTATAACAAATAGTCACAGAGAGAACCCGACTATATCTATTATAATGTCTTTACTGGCAGAAATCCAAAATTTAAAAGACAGATCCTCTTTGTTTAGGATAAAAGCATAAACCATTAAATAGAAAATAAACTGATAAAAATTGCATTGCATTCACTAATGGTTGTATTAAAAACAAGTAAAATTGGTGTGTTTATTCCTCCACTAATTTCACATGCTGGATTTGTAAACAAAAATGTACCCTGGGAATGAGAGAGTTCCTGGCTTTTCTTACTTTGTTTTGTAGACAGGATCTCATTGTGTATAGCCCTGGCTGACCTGGATCTCACTGTGTAGTCCTGGCTGGCCTTGAACTCCACTCCTGCCTCCTGAGTGCTGGTATTAAAGGTGTGCAGCACCACACCCAAGCTTTTTCTTAGGTAATTTTCATGTAAGCTCGTCTCACAGTACGAGCTCAATCATGGAGTAAATGGAATGATGACC